GAGGGAGGGAGGGAGGGAGGGAGGGAGAGGGGGTGTTCCTGGGTGTGTTATACTCTAGGGATGGGAAACACATTCGGGTAGAGATGTCCAGGTGACAGGTGGACATAAGATAAGTTTGGACTATGGAGAGAGATAAGGGACAAACCCACACTTTTAGAAACCCACACTTTTAGAAATCATGCCTATTTCAGCAGCATCCAAAACTGCCAGGAGGGAACTTGTCCACAAAGAACACGGAGGTTGGAGCAGAGGCAGATAACTAGTGGAGACAAAGAACAGGCCCTGAAGCCCAAGAAGGGACTGGAAGTAGGGCTTTTGGTCCACAGTGGTGCTCAGAAATGACAGGTTCAAGAGTGAGTGACTTTCCAGTTCATGTCACATGCTCCCTTCTGTCCCGTGGTATCTCGAGAGAGAAGCATGTAAGCCCCAGGCTGACCCCCACAGAGGAGTTCAGGGAAGGGCTGTGGGCAGGCCAGAGCTTTCTATTAGCTTCTGGCAGGCAGTGAGGGGGTGGCAGGCACCTCAGGTACCTGTTTGCCTCATACCACAGGCACAGGCTGGGCAGTGCCTCGGTCTCCCTGCAAGGCCTAACAAGGGCCTTGAACCATGACCATCAGATGGACTGCCAGACCCTGGTCAGGTACCCCTGAGGGTTGATACTCAGGAGATCATTCCCTAGGACAAGCAGGGGACTGTCCCCTGAAGTCTGTGAGAACTTTGAAGCCAGTCAGGAGCCGAGGACTGTGCATAGTACCCTGACATGGTACTACTTTTCTTCAGGGCCATTGTGGGGGGAATACACCATTAAATAGATTTTACTCTTTGTCAGAGGAGGAGGTCTTGCCTCCCTGTCTCAATTCACACAGTCTGAAGGCAACATTCTAAGACATCTCCTAGACCTCACATGAGAAGCCCCAGGCCAGGCATCTACCTCAGGGGAAAGCTGTCTAGGGAGACTCAGCTCCATGCAGCAGAGCAAAGCAGGGGCAGTGACTTGGCAGCTCCAGAGAGACCTCTGCAATCCTCAGCACAGAAAAGGCCTATGACCTGAGAGAGAATCACAGTCCAGAGAGCAAGTTGGAGAAGGGACTCCCAGACCTCAGAATAAATGTGGCATGAGTAAGAAATCGTAGCCGAAGAGCCCTGAGATGGGGAGACAGTAAAGATGAACATGAGTTTAAAATACTGAAGAGGGGGCACTGGAGGGATGGCTCAGCGGTTCAGAGCACTGGCTGCTCTTCCAGAGGTCCTGAGTTCAAGTCCCAGCATCCACATGGTGGATCACAACCATCTCTAGTGAGATCTGGTGCTCTTTTCTGGCCTGCAAGCAGAATGTTGTATACATAATAAATAAGTCTTTAAAAAAATACTGAAGAGAGAGCTGGGGGTATAGCATAGCTCAGTGGTAGGGTACCTGCCTGTAGTATACAAGGCCGTGGGTTCAGTTCCCACCACTGGGAAAAACTTAGATGGCAAGATATCTCAGTGGGTAAAGACACTTGCCACCAAGCCTGAGGACCTGAGTTGGGTCCTCAGAACCATGTGGTAGAAGAAAGAACTGACTCTGAGATGGGCCCCCTGAAACCTCCCCCCCTTGTGCACAGTGGTGCACACTCCCCCAAATTAAATTTTAAAAAGGTATTTTTAATTTACTTATTTTATGTGCATTGGTATTTTTGCCATGGATATTGGGTGCCCTGGAACTGGAATCATAGACAGTTGTGAGCTGTCACGTGGGTACTGGGAATTGAACCTGGGTCCTCTGGAAAAGCAGTCAGTGCTCTTAACCATTGGGCTATCTCTCCAGCCCCCTTTTTAAAAAAAGGTTTTTAAAGAAAATATTTACACATTCAAGTCAGTGTCTCCAAGTTGTTGTAAGGATGTGAGAAAAGAAAAGGCATGGAAATGCTAAATATTTTGTTGTTGATTTGGGGAAAAACAACAACTTCCTCAGGAAAGCATGAGAACGGAATGCTCAATGAACAAGCCTCTCCTGGAAGCTGGGAGTGAGGAGATGGAAGTGAAGGGACCCAGACGGTGGGCGGAGGAGAGGTTTGGGGAGGATTTCTGGCTGGGAGAGAGAAGAATTGGTAAGGAGAATGCAAAGGCAGGAAGAACTGGGGAGTCTTCAGGATGGGGGCGGGGCTTCTCTCTGCGAGGACAGACGTGAGCCAAGTGGGCAGACTGGAGGAAGAATAAAAGAGCTGGCATGATGGCCTGGTTAAGTGTCTGACACCAGAGGACAAATGAGAAAGGAGGTGACAGCAGTTACGAAGTCACAAGAGCCACCCACTTGTTCTCCCCCTGTGCCTGGTGATACTGCATACTGTCTTTCTCCCAGTGCTTGGAGGGCTTGAGGCCAGACTCCCTGAGCCACGCCCTCATTCATAGGACTGAGCAGAACACGGACATTTCAGACACCCAGGTTCAGAGGGCAGACCAGCAGTCACGCTGTGCGCCACAGCCTCCATCCAAACTCAGCAGAATCCCAACCGGCAGGCAATCGAGACAGACAGGCCGGCCTGCGAGCGCTGTTCTGCCCCATGGGAGTGCGGGCACAGAGCCATGAACTGTGGCTCCCAAGGCCCCAAACACCCGAAGGACAGCTGCTGCCCGGAGTGGTGCTGAGGCTGAAGCAGGCCACACGCACGCACGCACGCACGCACGCACGCACGCACACACACCCTGGCCATCTGAGATGAAGCCATAAAATCAACCACTGAAAACAGAACACCTGCTCCTCAGGAGGAGCCACACAGTCAGCACCAGCGGCCAGCAAAGGGCGCCTCGAACTCCCTTTCCACCTAAGTGGGGCTGGAGTTGATAATAAAGATGTGGCATCAGGGGAGCAAAGACTCAGATTTTTAAAAAAGGCTTAGCATGTGGGCAAGCTAGAACATAAAAGGACAAAAATGAGCTCTCAGAACTTGTACTTGAGGTGGTCTCCATACGACCAAACATCTAAGATGCAGTCTCGGGATTACTTCATACGAAGAGCTGATTAACTGTCTCCAGCCCTCAGTGAAAAGGTGTGTATATAAAAGTGTGTACTCAGCCGGGCGATGGTGGCGCACGCCTTTAATCCCAGCACTCGGGAGGCAGAGGCAGGCGGATCTCTGTGAGTTCGAGGCCAGCCTGGTCTCCAAAGTGAGTTCCAGGAAAGGCGCAAAACTACACAGAGAAACCCTGTCTCGAAAAACCAAAAAAAAAAAAAAAAAAAAGTGTGTACTCAATAGTGCTGCCAGACTCACATAAACTAGTCCAGGGAGGGAGATGAACAGTGACTAGAGCGTTGTACATTGTGCATAACACCATAGAGGGGCCAGCGAGCTGACTCCGTGGGTAAGGAAGCTTGCCACCAAGCCGGACCACCTGAATTTGATCCCCATGACCCAGAGGGTGGACAGAGAGCTAACTCTGACCTCCCCATCAGCATCGTGGCTTGCATACACTCCTCTCAGCACACACATAAATAAGTTAGTTAATTAAAAATAATATTACAGTTGATCAACTATTACCATTTTGTCATTCTATGCCATAACAGGGAATGCAAAAATGACCGGAAATGCATATTGAAATTCAAATGACTATTGTTTAAGTAGGTAGAGGGTGTGCTACAAATGATTGAAATATGTGTCACATAGGGAGACACAGAGTGGAAAAGAGAGAGCACATGGATGGCTGTCCATCAAACCGACCCTGTGCCTGACCACGTGACATCACTGTCAGTGAAACCATGACGTGAGGAAAGTGGGGACATGACCAGATGAGTGAGAAGGACTGGCAAGGAAGCCTGGTTACCAAAAGTGCAAAACTCAGGAGGAGCGAGCGGGTGATTCACCTGGGTTGTGGTCATGTCCGTCTGTTCCTGGAGAGCTGCAGAGGCTGTGGAGAGGAAAGGGGGCAGAAGCCATGAGAAAGACCATCACCATCAAGCTCCTCAGAGTCTTGTTAGAAACCCATTTGTATGTGCTGACAAATGACCACCTGGGGGTCCGATGTTACCCCGACACTTCAGACGGGCGGGTAGATGAATGCTCAGGAAGTTTTATCACTACCTGGAGCTCAGAGAAAGGGCTTTTCATCGGGACAGCCAGCGCTGGCTTCCTGCCGGCCTTTCACAATGACCATGGCCTCTTTGGGCCTGACAGCAAGCAAGCACACAGGGCATGAAGACAAGCTGGGAAAGAGGCGGCAAGGCAAATGGTTAGAGCAGCTAACTCAGGTCTTCAGTCCAGTTGCGTGTTTTGATGTGTGGGGTTTAATCTTACGAACGGAGTGTAGCGGTATATCCAGCACTGTATTCCCAGCACTCAGGAGGCAGAGGCAGGAGGATGGAGCATTTGAGATTAGCCTGAGCTACACAGAAGGCCCCTGCTTCAAACAAACACTACAAAACAATAAGATAATCTTATAAAGGAAGGTGGGAAGGAGAAAAGTATGGATGTGTGTTTAAGTGCATGTGTATATATGTACGTGCGTGTGCGTGCTGGGGGTGGACAGCCAATGAAACGATCCGTCCCTAGCTCAAACTGCAACACACACTCAGGAGTTTCTATGCTGTTTTCTACTTTTGTACCGTTTTGAATATTTCTGTAATAAAAGGTGTGAATCAACTTATAGGTTTTGTTTTCTTTAAGACAGGATCTCACTATGTAGCCCGGCTGGCCTGGAACACTCAATGTTGACCAGGCTGGTTTCAAACTCAGAGATCCACTTGCCTCTTCTTCCCAAGTTGCTGAGATTAAAGATGTGCAACATTGAACCTAGTGTGTGTAAAACAGTTTAACAATGAAGATGTTATAAGTATCTGTTGATTTACTTTTCTGCATATATTTTAACTCCTTAGCCCTGGAACTCAAATAATTTATTTTTAAACAATTTATTTTTTCGTGTGTGTGTGTGTGTGTGTGTGTGTGTGTGTGAACATGTGTGCAAGGGCCCACTGAGACCAGATGATATCTGATTCCCTGGAAATGGAGTTACAGGTGAGCTGCTTGATGTGGGTTCTGGGAACCCAACCCAGGTCTTCTTCCGGAGCAACAAGTGCTCTTAACTGCGGAGCCACCTCTCAAATCCCAGCTGGAGGGACGTGTAGGAACTGCTGACAACAGGGACAGTGTGCTTTAAGTCAGTTCTTTGGTTTCAGTGTCTCCAAGGGGGCTTTGTTTTGTTTCAAGACACTTGACTTATCGACTTACCTGAGACATGTGGACAGTGGCCTGGGATCAGCGGGTCTCAAGGATTTGGTCACTAGCAAGTTCTTGCAGGCAGATGGTAAGAGCCTAGTTACGATGCCGGGGACGAATAACACTTGTTCATTGCTGGAGTCTGGCAGGCTCTTCTCTAAGCACTTTTCAGGTGTGGTCTCACTTAGTCCTTACAATCAAGTATGATGTAGGTACCACAGTGCCTCCATGAGGAAATGGAGGTGAGGAATGATAGAGCTGTTCTTATGGAGGGCTAAGTTTCAAACCCTGACAGACTGTCCCTAGAAACCATGTAGTTAAGGATTGCTAATTATGAAGCAGAATGACATGCCCCCTAAAACGGGAGTGGGCGGTGTGGCCCTGAAGTCTAGCTGTGCCTGTGAGTGTGCCTGTGAGGTTGTGGGAGGAGCTTCCAGGAGGAGGAGAGCGCATCTGCCTGCACTTGCACCTCCTCCTCCTCCTCTTGTTCCCTCACCCTCCTCCCACGGAGGTCTCTATTCCCAGCAGCCTGCCTCTTGCTCGCCTCCCGTGGCCGGCCCAGCTCACCTCCTTCTCTTGGAAGCCGGCCCACGCTGCTGCCGCTGGACAGGTGTCTAGTGAGACGACGTTACCCAGCACAAGGCTCAGCAGGCGCTTCTCGAGCTGAATGTGGACTCTGCCTCTTTCTTGGGCTTCCGCCCTTCAGCTGCACCCAAGAGAGGAGGGGTCTCCCGTGGGGAGAGTCCTGCTTCTGTGTGCTCTTCTTTTTCTTCACACAATCTGTGATCCAGAGAACTTTGAACCTGACTAGAGGGAGTAAATTCAAGGAACTGGAGCCTTTGGCTGAATCAATCAATTCCCCCTCCCCTCTCTCCCCCCCCCCCCCCCCCATCAATCAATTCCCCCTCCCCTCTCTCCCCCCACCCCAACCACTGCTCTCTACAATAGTGGTTCTCAGAGCGAAAGTCCAGACCAGTGTCGACACCATCCAAACCATTCAGGAAGATGAACTTAGAGACCTCTCAGCAGTCAGCAGGAGCTCGGTACCCAGCATCGGTTGGGCCCGAGTGCATGGCTGATTCTGGTGCAGACTCTGAAAACCGCTGTGAGCCTAACTTAGTAGTCAGCAAACTGCAGTGGGCACAGACAGGTGGCCCAGGCAGAAGGGCTAGTCATCCCAGGAGCCCTTAGGGAAGACTCGGTGCAGGCAGGTCCAGCGGCCCTTGGGGAGGAGCCATGGGTGGGGAGAGAGATAGAGAGAGACAGAGAGAGACAGAGTGAGACAGAGAGAGAGAGAGAGAGAGACAGAGACAGAGACAGAGACAGAGACAGAGACAGAGACAGGGACAGAGAGACAACAGCTAGATTGAACGGAGCTTGCGATTTGGAAATAAACGATTCGGGAGTTTACAACCTAGCTCTCTCCCACAGACTATGCCCTTCACCCCATCCCCAAGTCGGTCTTCTCTGTTAGAACAGGGCTGTTGGGCTGCAACAGTGACTTTCAGAGCCAAATGATGCATAGGGCTTAGTGAACAGGGCACGAAGGCCACTTTCAGGTCCTGAGCAAATGCCACCATCCCTGCTAAAGCTTATCAGGCACTGCCCAGAACACCCTAGAGGCAGGTTCAGGGAAGAACTCCCATGTACAGACGGGGAAACTGAGTCTCAGATTCCTCTTCTTGCCCGTGGGGACTCAGTAGTAATGCTAGAACTTGAGCTAAGACTCTGAGAGCCGCCTTTTGAGCTACAGAACCCTCACTGCCAGCCACGAACAGGTGTCATCCCATGAAGCGGTGGAAGTCACTCGCCAGTTGCTATGGGGCTCGGAACCCCAGCAGGTGGCTCTGACATCCGAATGCCTTCCCCAGCTCACTTTATCCCGACCCCCGAGCCCGTGCCCAATCTCTTCCCCTTGGAGAAGCCCACCGCCACCAGCGCGAAGCCCACTCAGGGTCAGTGTCAGGGTCCCCCCACGACCTGCGCAGATGCTGGCACGCAAAGCCCCTGAGCCTGGCAACGCAACCCTCCAAATTGGCTCTCACCGGTGGGCGCGCCTGACTTGGGTACCGGGTCTCTGAGCGACGCTTGGACCCTGAGGATCTGAGGGTTTCCTCCGAGCGCAGCAGGACGCGGGAGCGAACAATGAAGATGAACTGCACATGCGCAGCACAGCAGCTAGGGACCCGTTCCCGCGACCCTCTTGGCCTCCATCACATTCCAGACTCCGTTCCCAAGGCACCCGCGCCCCTCCCAAGGAGAAGCAGAGCTCCTGCTTAGTTGGAGAACTGTGCCAAGCCACCTGCAGGCACCACTGCCTCAGATGCAAAGCCACTTGGAGAAGAGTCGTGTCCACACCACGTGAGAAAAAAGCAAGGAGGTGAAGTGTTTATAGGAAGCAAAACCACGCATTCCTATCAAAGATCAATATGACCCTCAAGTTTTCTCTCCTAATGCACATCTGCACACAAAACTGGCTATCAAAAGTAATGCCCCAAGCTGGGCACTCGAGAGGCAGAGCCAGGCGGATCTCTGTGAGTTCGAGGCCAGCCTGGTCTACAGAGCGAGATCTAGGACAGGCTCCAAAGCTACACAGAGAAAACCTGTCTCAGAAAAAAAAAGTAATGCCCCCAAACCATAGACAAAATCAAATACACAATTCAAAGGGGCATATGAGCAAAGGAGCCAGTAAATAATTTCCTTTCCCAGAGATGACCATGGTTAATATTGAGTGATATGTTAAGATTTTTAAAAAAGCTGAGTGGTAGTGGTGCACACCTTTAATCCCAGCCAGCACTGGGGAGGCAGAGGCAAGTGGACCTCTGTGAGTTTGAGGCCAGCCTGATTTACAGAGCAAGTTCCATGAAAGCCAAGGCTACACAGAGACACCCCCGCCCCCCCGCAAAAAAAAGATAAAAAAGAAAGTGTGTGTGTGTGTGTGTGTGTGTGTGTGTGTGTGTGTGTTCATGCGCATGTGACTGTAGATGTCCATGGAGGCCAGAAGCATCAGATCCCTTGGAGTTGGAGTTACAGGCAGTTGTGAGCCACCCTAACTAGGTGCTGGGAATAGAATTCTGGTCCTCGGCAATCATTAAAAATACTTTTAACCACTGAGCCATCTTTCCATTCCCTGGGCAATACTGTTATTGAAACAGGACCCTAGGAGTTTAATTTTATATATTTCATTAAGCATATTAATCATTTTCTAACAGTGCAGGTGTGAGTGCAGGTACCTTTTAAGTCCAGAGGAGGCACCAGATGCATTGGAGCTGGAGGTACAGGTGGATTTGGGTTGCCTGACATGGGTGCTGGGAACTGAAAGAGCAGCCCCTGGTCTAACCTAGACCATCCCTCCAGCCCCTGGAAATAACTGAAGACGTGCAGGTCAGCATACTTAAGATAATGCACAAATTCATGACCCTTTGTCTCTTCTGAGAGTGACAATGGGCTGTAATAGGTGGCATTCACTGTGGCATTCAGCATCTAGATCTATGGTTCCCAGTGCTGGGCAGAACTCTCAGGAAAGTAATCATTGCTCGCTGCTGGGTGCCATTAAACCTGGAGGTTGAGGCTGGGTATGGTGGTGGATGCTTTTAATCCCTATGCTCGGGAGGCAGAGGCAGGAGAATCTCTATGAGTTCAAATCCAGCCTGGTCTACATAGAGAGTTAGTTCCAGGACAGTCAAGAGCGACTCTGTCTCTGTCAAGACCACCACCAAACAAGCAAGCAAGCAAGCAAGCAAGCAAACAGAACAACACAAAACCCTGGGACTGCCAGGCCAAAGGAAGGAGTCTATTCTCCAACGGCAGCTCAGTGAGTGGTTCTATTCCCGTGGCACCTCACTGTACTGTTTTACTGAGTAGATCTAAATTTCATCTGAAGAACCAAGTCCCTAAATAGCATCGGGCATTTCTAACTAACAATTTAGAGTACTCTTAATTAGACATGAAAATCGCCCTTGCTTCTGGCAAGGACAGTCTTAAACCCAAAAGTTCATAAGAATTCCTAGTAATATGATAAAGGTGAAATGTCCATGTAGGAGGATGAGTGAGAGAGGAGAAATGAAGAAATCATAAAAAAAAAAATCATCTTAGGAAATTAGGGGGCAGGGGATGGGGTGGGAAAGGAGCAGAGTGCATGCTGTAGCATGTACCTCATGTGGATGGGACCTGATGTTCTGACTGTGAGTCACCAGGCACTCTATAGGAAATAGAAAAAAATTATCTCATTTAATATATGGGCAGGGATCAACAATAGCACCTACCAAATACATGACTCAAAGCTTTTACTCTAGAAAAATGTCAAAACTCATCTTAAAAAAAAAAGATTGGAAAATATATTTTGTAAGTATATGAAAGAAATGGTTTACTGGCTCCCTTTAATTATCTCTTACACATTTGTAAGAAGATCACAGTCCCATATAAATGATCTATGGCTACAAAAGACTAGTAATAAAAGGGAAATGCAAATGAGGAATAAATATGCAGAAGCTGGCCATAAACTACAGATAAAACTGCAAGTGTTTAAATACTTCTTTGCCTTCACAGTAGGCAAAGATTATAAAGAAATATGATATCCAGGGTGGTTGAAATTTGGAGAAATGCTCATTCTCATAAATATCTTCCTGGAATGTAATTTATAGGACAATTGGAGGCCTCTCTGTCTCAGGGTTCCAAAGGAGCATGTTCTGTGGACACAGCTGTTCCATCTCCAGGGTTATGACCTAAGGGAGTAAAGTCCAAAGATGCATGGACAGCCACCTTCCTCAGTGTTTGCTGACAGTCATACACCAGGGGGAAATTAAGTTACAGAAACTATGAGAAGCCACAAAGTGGGATATAGGACAATCATTAACCACTGCAATGTAGAGTATAACGTGCTACTGTATAATACATGGAAGTAGGTAGAGCTTATAATGTACTTTTAAAATTTGTTTTTATCATTTGTAATTGTGTGTGTGTGATTTATTATGTGTATAAATCATTCTATCAGTTCTATTCTATCAGTTCTATATATTCTATCAGTTCTATACACATTCTGTCAGTTCTATTCCTCTAGAGAACTTATTCAAATTTATTATTCAAAGTTCTCTAGAGGAATAGAACTGATAGAATGTGTATATACATATAATATGCATACGGGATTTATTAGAATGGCTTATAGGCTAAGTCCAACAATGTCCAGCTAGTCCAACATGGCTATCTACCAGCAGAAGTTCCAAGACTCTAGTAGCTGCTCAGTCCATGAGGCTGGACATCACAGTTGGTCTTCAAGGCATGCTGGAATCCTAAGGAAGTAGGCTTTCACGCCAGTGAAGGACTGGACAGACTCACAAACTCAAGCAAGCAGGCAAAGGCTGCAAGTTTCCTTCTTCCAGGTCTCACAAAGGCCGCCAGAAGGTACGGTCCAGCTTAAAGATCCAGATTAAAAGAGGGCTTTCCCACTGCAAATAATCTAATAAGGAAAAACCCTCACAGATGTACCCAGACACTTAGGTTTCGGTTAATTCCAGATGTATTCCAGTTGACAGCCATGAATAGCCATCATATGGTGTGTGTGTGTGTGTGTGTGTGTGTGTGTGTGTGTGTGTGTGTGTATAGGGGGATATAGACAGGTGCCTCCATCCTCCATATTCTCCCGAGCTGGAGTTAGAGGTTTGTGAGTCTTCTGATATGGGTGCTGGGAACTGAACTCTCTGCAAGAACAGTATGAGTTCTTAACTACTGAGACATCTCTCCAGCACCTTACAATGCATTTTAGAGTAAAATACACTTTATTTTTAAATTAATTGTGTGTGATTGTATTCATCACTTTTTTGTTGCTATGATAAAACACCATGACCAAGGCAACTTATAGTAGAAAGAATTTATTTGGGCTTTTCCAAATAAATTCCAAAAGGGATAAAGAATCCACCACCATTTAAAAATAAAGAATATAAGCAATGTTTTTTTTTTTTAATCATCTACCCCTCCTAAGGGTTTGAAAGTAATGTAAGTAACAAATACAGGTTCAAAATTGAACCAAAACATTTAAAAATCTCACCCATAACAAAAGAGAAATCTCTGAAGAGATTTTGTTTATAGCAGTCTGCAGAAATTCCTGATCTGCATTTCTTAGCGCTAACCTTCGGTAGGACCCAGGATGGGTGGGCCACCCTGAGGAGTGGGAATTGGCATTCCCCGTGGAAGGCATCACTCTAATGTTGCCTCTTTAATTTTCCCAGGGTTAGCATGATGTATTTAGTGTTTGCCGCTAAATTAACGGCACAGTGCATTACACTGCTTGTTTAAGTGTCTTTGTTGTGCATTATGGCACCTAATTTCCACTTCAAAGTAATTGGCCTCCGTGAGTCTTTTTGTTTCAGGCCCCTAAAAGCACTGTCACTTAATGACTTTGAATGAGGCTGGTGTAGCGATTAAGTGATTTACAGTTTTAGTAAAAGTGAATGCTAAAATGATTAACCAAGTTACTAAATAACTCAAAATATTCCAAAACACCAGCACAGTGGGTTCCTTGATGGCAGTAGCACTCATGGGCCCAGCTGCTGAATGGGTGCATCTTGGTTTATATTAAAGAGAGGCAGCCACGTGCCACGGCACACACCAAGCTCACAACTACCACTCATTGTTACTTTTATATTATGGTTCTGCAGGAGCATGGGAACTTCCAGGGGCTTGGGAAGACTTGTGCTGAGTTGGAATTTGTACCCCAGGACCAGACATGGCCATGCCTTGGTATCCTTTCCAGTCTGTACACCTGGAATTCCTGGGCACTAAGTGGCACCGCCCTCTTCTGTGGTACCATTTCAATGTGTGGATGCAAATACTTGGAAGTAAAGGAGAATGGGTGCTGACCTTGTGATAGTCCTTATCTCTCTGCAAATGACTGACTGTCGATGGTCAAGGGGACTGTGATAGCTAATACTGCCAACTACACAAAACCTAGACACCCCTCCCCAGTGGGGTGATGGGTTTGTAAGGATTTTCCTGACTGGGGTGGGGACCCATCCTGGGTGTGTGTGGCACTGTTTCCTGGGCTGGGCCCTGGACTGAATGAAACGGAGAGAAGGTGCTGATGGTGACCCTGCAGTCACCCTTGCTTTCTGCTTCCATCCTGTGGGTGTCATTCGGCCAGTTCCCTCATGCTCCTGTACCCGGACTGCACCATGATGGGCTGCACCTTGAACCATGAGCCAAAATAAAACCTTTTCCCTTTAAGCTGTTTTTGTTCAGATATTTTTATCACAGAGACGGGAAAAGAAACCAAGACAGAGACTGATGACCGATGTTTTACTTTTTATTGGCAAAAGTGCATTTATTTGGTGTATACAGGTATGTGCCACATAACGATGCTTCGATTGACACAGGCCATATAGATAACAGTGCTGTGGGCCGCAGGAATATATCACAAGAACTCAGCTGGTTATGGCAAAGTCACTACCTGGAGGGATCAGGGAATTCCTCCAGAGGAAGCCACATTCCAAGGAGCTTTTGGTGTTATTTGGCTTGTTATATATCAGCTGTCTTCTGTTATGAAAATCATGCGTGCATTCATTTTTTTCCCAGTTGATTTTTCTCTAAGAAGGGCTAACAGTGTGGACTGATCACTCTCTGGACATACACATTCTGGGTATTTGGAGAACAGCTTCAGGAAAGGCTTCCTCTGGAATCAGATATCACCCTTAGCCACTTTCAAGGACTAACAGTAACAACAGTCCACGTGCAAGTCTCCTGAT